TGCCAGGTGAGCTAACAATGTTTTGATATGAAGCAGCAGTAACTCAGTTTTGAATATTAGATAATGACATAACCATGTGTCAGATTAGACAATCTCCATGGTAGTACAAGACAGAAATGGTTGGGATACTGTACAAAGGAAAGGAGAGTACATAGGTTTATTTAACATCTTTTCAGACAACAGGTCTTGGTTTGAATTTATTTGGTACTAAATCATTAGGGTTCCTCCTCGCTATACTTGTAGCTATATGTGAAATTACACAATATTAGCTGTAATTCCTTGACTGGAAACAATATTCACACAATAGGTCAGTGACCTCAGCCTTTCACCTTTTCACCATATCATTAACAGAGATCCTTCTCACATTAAGTACAATAGTCCTTCGAGGAAGAAATATACTTTAACAAGTGTCTAAAAACTAGGAACCTGCTCATTGCCTTTCAAGTCTTCCTTTGAAGTTTGATGAATGTAAATGAAAAGGAACAGAAGTTATGGTCTTGAAACCAATGTTTCCACAGACAGGCATGGTGATTCCAGTATGCTCTCCAAACACAGTGTGTGTGTATAACAATAAGATCATTAGAACAAGACTTGAGAAACAACTACACATCTTACCTTTTTAAATGTCTGCAGCATTTCCTTCCTGGCTGATGCTTTTTGTTTTTGTGCCTGCAATCAGAAACAAGACATTTAATAATCATGGATCTCAAACAAGTTCCAATCTTTTCAGTTTCTTTGGCAAATAAAAGACTTCAACAATCAAAGCTATGTTTTTGACTGCATAGAAATTGCACAATTTTGACCAAAGAAAGCATACCAAAGTATTGCAAAATTACACATACCCTGTATTGACACATTGCCTGGTCATGATGTTTATTGTTTTAACTTGTGATGGTGTGTTCAACACTGAATAATAGCTTCAGCTTGTAACAATATTTGGGCTGTACTTGGGACTCCCTGAATTTCAATTAGGGGCTTTCATTATCCAATTTCGGGATTGTATCATTCATTATTAAAGGATATACCAGTAAAACATCAATTCAACCCCTGTACTCCTGGTTTTGTATAGTTTACCACCCACAGAATTCAAATAATACTCTGCATCATAGTAATAGTAAAGAAACCTAACTATTCAGGGCCCATATGCATGAAACCATTTTCATGCTCAAGCATTGATTTTGTGCTAAAGCTTAATTTCTTGTTCAGTTTATGAATTAATAATGAAATCTTATTTTGTCAAAAATTTGAAGAGACTGTTTCCAATGTTTACATTTGACTTTTTGATTGTTTGATATGATGTAAGTGAGTTACAAGAAAGTTGGTTTGAGCACAAAATCAATGCTTGAGCATGAGAACAGTTTCATGAATACAGGCCCTGGAGTCCTGGGGTCAGGTAGATTCTTTTGATGGAACAGCCCTATGGGATTCATAATTAAATAATGACAAGAATATTTCATAATAGCAATAACACATTATATTGTAATTATACCTTAGGTATTTCCTTCTTGGCAATGGAGATCCACAACCTCCTGCGCTTGGCGTCAGCCTGTTCTGGTGTTAATTTTTTTACTTTTGCTGATTTAGAAGCAGCTTGCCTTTTGTGGGCCAGGAATGCCTCTATCAGATCAGGGTCTAGGTCAAGTTCCTGCAAAAGTACTTTTCTTATTGATATTTTACACTAGATCAAATTTCTTCACAAAAAAATGTTGTTGCATAAATGTTTTAAACACACTAAATATTACAGCCATGTACATTTCTGACCTTTAATATTAAATAGAACAGTTAATAAAGGGGGTCTATCTCGGTAGTGCAACATTGATCCATGCAATAAATATAATTCTATAGCAGTTACATCAAAGAACATGACATAGCAAATACGAACTTAAACATTTTCAAGAGGGACTAAAGTATGGCAACACTGATTCATTTGAATCTCAAGTTTATAAAGACACATTGCACTTACTGCTTGTCCATTTCCTAAACGCTTCTCTTTTTTCAGCTTTTTTAATTTCACTGGAAAAGAAAAATTAATGAACAGTTTATTTTAAGTTGATCTGAAGTAGCAATTGAACCAATTAAAGCCTCAAGTATCTGGAACATATAAGACGTTATACTGACATTTTGTCAAAGTCTATATAGAGGTCTTCTGAGTGATTGTTGGTTATTCATTATCCAGTATTGGCTAATTTTTAGAAATCACAAAAGACAAGAAGATGACCAAGTTTCCAAGTCAACTAACTACAAAGAACGATGAATCTGACAACCACGAGTTGAAGAATATCTTTATTCTGTATTAAACCATTTTTTTCTTAAAAATATCTTATTCATAAGCCACCATCCATGACCAGTTGCCTTTTCTGTTCAAGGAATTTAATTCTTTGGTGAATGAACTAACAAAGAACATTTTTATATTTTCTTCGTCAAACTATACACTTCACAATAAATCCATATAACTATATTAAAGCTTCATATCTTTTCAAGAAAAATATCTATCCCTGCAAATTTATTTTTATTTAAAGCAACAATACCTTTTAACTTTCTCTCCAGTTTTTTCTGATCTTTGGATATTTTTCTCTTTGGTCCCATGAATGATTTTTGATGATCATTGTATTTGTCAAAGTTTGACAGTAAACCTGTACTGTAGTACTGGAACTGATGGAGCTGTAAATGGGAGATGCAGGATATAAATACATTTGTATGCTCTGATCTGCTTAAAATACCATCTTAATGGGTTGTATGTTAAACCAACCATGGCCTTGACATTAATAAGATGGTGTGCTACAAACAACTCACCTCATTATCCTGGTAGAACTGCATTTGATGCTTCCTCTGGTGTTTATGTATCTTGAGCATGGCATGCAGGTCCTCCTGTCTGATTTCTTTCTCTTCATCTTCATCAGAGGAACTGTCACTCAATAGGATGTTCTGCAAGAAAAGTTGAACAAATAGTCTTTCTTAACTGCTGAAAATGTATATCTTGCAGTTTCTTTAATCTGTACCACTAGCAAGTATCTATTACATGTTAAGACATTTTTTCATGTTTTTGTCGGTGATACTTTAATTTAAAATCAGCGATGTTCTGTACAGAAAGTCAGAAATTAGCATTCGTTTCTTCATGCTTTATGTTAAATTCTGGAGCAGCTACTTAAAATTGAAGTTTACATATTATCTCACCTTAAGCCATTTCCTTCCCTTTTTCACACGACTGAAATTATACAGTCTGGTTTTATCAGCCTTTCTCTCTGTGTGAAATATATAATAATGAATTAATGAAATGTTGGGTAAAAAAATAATCATGTAAGATTAATTAGATACAATTTGGTTTAAATGTTTGGTTTTATATCAAATAAGACTGAATAATAGAATTATAAGGATATATGTATTAAACAGATTTTAACATGATTGTCACTTTTAATTATTTCTAACCTATTTATTTTTGACTAATATTTTTATCCTAAAAACAAGAGGCCCATAGGGCCTGTATCGCTCACCTGGATATCTAAGCAATCATGGCAGAATATTCTCCAAATGAGATCCAAGGGAATATGCCAGACCCCAAGGCCAATCCTTGTAGCATATATATCTGTATTCAATTTTTCATGCCCAGCAATTTTATGTATGGTTATGGGGTGGGGATCTCAACTGTTTCCAAGTTGTGACTCAGAAACTAGGTCCCTACGGTTGTGGCCAGACCCCAGGATCAATTCTAATATCATGACTGCATTTGTCTCTTTTTGCCAAGCATTTGTATATCTAGTTTTGGGGTAGGGATTTCAACCATTTCAAAGTTATGACCCAGGGGTTAAGTCTGCAAGGAGGGGGCAAACACTGGGGTCAATTCTAATATCATGACTGCATTTGTCTCTTTTTGCCAAGCATTTGTATATCTAGTTTTGGGGTAGGGATTTCAACCATTTCAAAGTTATGACCCAGGGGTTAAGTCTCCAAGGGTGGGGCAGTCCCCAAGGCCATCCTGGAAGCATATGTGCATTCATCTCTTTGTAATCGGCAATCGTCTATATGGTTATAGGGTGAGGATCTCAACTGTTTCCAAGCTGTGACTAAGAAACTAGGTCCCTAGGGGTTCGGTCAGACCCCAGGGTCCATTCTAATATTGTGACTGCATTCGTCTCTTTATGCCCAGCATTTGTATATATATAGTTTTTGAGCGGGGATCTCAGCTGTTTTCAAGTTATGGCCCAAGGACTATGTTTCCAAGGGTGGGGCCAGACCCTAGGGCCATCCTGGAAGCAAATGTGCATTCTTCTCTTTATACTCAGCAATTGTATATGTGGTTATATGGTGGGGATCTCAACCATTTCCAGGCAATAAACTT